AAGGCTGATTGGCGGAAGGACTTAGAGAAAGCACTGCTGTCTTTATGGGGTCCTTTGTGTCTTGAAACACAAAGAAAACAGTTTTTGAATTTAATGCAGATAGCAATGGCCAGAACAGTTCAAATGAAGAAAATAATGAAATAAAAATAAAGTCTGGGCAAGATGAAAACAAAAGGAATGGTTCACAGGTATTAGCAAGAGAGAGAGAGAGAGAGAGAGAGAGAGAGAGAGAGAGAGAGAGAGAGAGAAGGGAGGGAGGCAGGGAGGGAGGGGGAAGAAATGAAATATGCAAAGTTGCAGGTAGAACTGGGGAAAATGCCTTCCCTCGTTGTTACGACCCGGCACTCGGGCAGGCTTTCTGTGGGATGGAAGTTCTTTAAGCAGAGGTAAACGCGCCATCCCGTCTCTGATGCGCGTCTCTGTGCTGCAGCTGTCGCCTCCCACACGGATCATCTGTGCTGGGACTCTGGATCTGTTGCTCACGTTCTATAGCCCTGAGCACGGAGCACTGGGCGTGAACCCAGACAGAGCTCCCTGTGAGCAGGCAGACGACTTCCGCAGTTCGTTTTGTCGAAGGTGATTTTGTGGGTGAACGTAGACTGGGAGCCGCAGTGGTGACACAGCGACTTCACGCCTGGGCAAGGTCCACGTTTGGTGTCACAGCACCCGTGTGTCACAGGAGGTCCTGCACCTGCACCTTTTCCCCACTGTCACAGATCTCTGGCCGCCACAGTTTGTTTTCCTTCTTTTTTTAAAAGATCAATTTATTTATTTGAAAGTCAGAGTTACAGAGAGAGAGAGAGAGAGAGAGAGGTCTTCCATCCTCTGGTTCAGTCCCCAACTGGCCGCAATGGCCAGGAGCCAGGAGCTTCTTCCCGGTCTCCCACGTGGGTGCAGGGGCCCAAGGACTTGGGCCATCTTCTACTGCTTTCCCGGGCCATAGCAGAGAGCTGGATCAGAAGAGGAGCAGCTGGGGCTCAAAGTGGCACCCACATGGGATGCTGGCACTTCAGGCCAGGGCATTAAGCCGGTGCGCCACAGCACCAGCCCCACAATTTGTTTTTCTACTCCTGGTTCTGCGCTAAGGGTTTTAAGGGATCCAGAAAAAGTCAGAGGAACTCCCATTGCTCCCAGGGGTAGAGGCGTCGTGTGTCCAGACAGCCATGAAGAAACTAGGAGACGGCGGTGCTGCGAAGGGCGCCCGAGGTGCGTGAGCTGTTTTGTGTCGGGAGTTATTTACTGAGCACCCGTTAAGTGCGGGCTGCAGAGGAAGCTCGGATTAGGGCTGTGAGGAAGACGCACGGCCTGCCGTTCAGCGTCTCACCGTGGATGTGCAAGGGGGACGCCAGCTACACAAACAAACCAGAGACTGAGAGCTGTGAGGGGAGAGAGAAATAGGTTAGAAACACGAGGCTGTGTCACCGGAGCCGAGCCAGGAGCAGGAGAAAGGCCGTTCGTGTGTGGTCAGGGGACAGGAGGAAGAGGAAACCTTGTCCTCACAAAGGCGCACGCTGCTCCGAGATCTGCGCATGGCAGTGCGTGGAATTCATTTCCTTTTTATGAATTTTTTTTTTAAAAAGAAAGTGTTCGTAGACCAGGGTAGGCGCTGTGGCGCAGCAGGGAAAGCCAGTGCCTGTGTTGCTGGCATCCTGCAGGTGTGCCGTTTGGAGTCCTGGCTGCTGCACTACTGATCCAGCTCCCTGCTAATGTGCCTGGGAAAAGCAGCGGAAGATGGCCCAGGTACCTGGGCCCATGCCAGCAATGTGGGCGACCAGGATGGCGTTCTAGGCTCCTGGCTCCAGCCTGGCCCAGCTCCAGCTGTTGCAGTCATTTGGGGAATGAGCGAGCAGATGGAAGATCTCTCTCTCCCTCTCTCTCTCTCTCTCTCTCTCTCCCTCCCTCCCACCCTCTCTCCCCCATCCCAATTCTGCCTTTCAAATAAATAAAATAAATCAGAAAAAAGCAACTGGTATATATTTTTAAAAAACCCAGAATGTTCATGGAAGCACTTTGGCAGTAGATGAAACTGGAAGCCCCAGTTGTCCATCCACTGGTGTCACGGGGGGCCTGTGTCCCCCAACGGCTCCTGACCCCAGTGTCCTGAGTGTGACATCACTGGAAGCTGGGCTAGAGGCAGCGCAGATGGGGTGAGCTGAGATGAGCTCACGGTAGACGAGGAGGCCCCAGCCCAGTGCGATGGCTGTCCTCACAACCAAACAGCAAGACGGACAGACAAGGGGTCGTGTGACAGCCGCAGACAGGAGTGACACAGCTGCAGGCCAAGGAGAAGTAAGGATTGGCAGCTACCACCAGGAACGAGGGAGAGAGGAAGACGGTTACTCCCAGGGTCTCGGCAGGAGCCCCCCGGGCTGGGGGAGGATCCGGTTCTTTGGCTTTGCGCCCCTCAGCTGGTGCACCCTGGGAAGCTCTCTCAGCAGCCGGTGGGTGACTCTGGGTGGGGAGAGCTGGGCAGCAGAAGGAACAGAAGGAACGAGCTACTGTGTGCTCTGCACGGGGGTCGCCTGGGAGCCATGGAGCCACGTGCAGGAAGCCAGACACAACGGGCACGCCATGTCTGATTGCCCTCCCCGGAAATGCCCAGGAAATGCAGGCGTCCGCAGACGGGGAGCAGGCAGATGCGCGGCCGCCCAGGGCTGCGCCTGGCCGCGGCAGGCACTGGACCGAGCCCAGAGGCTCTCACGGGTGAGGCGAATGTTTTAAAGCTGGGCCGTGGAGGTGGCTGCGCAGCTCGCCAGACGTGGCAAATCTCTGATTTACACCTACGATTGTGCATTATTTCTGTGTGTAAATTTTGCCACCAAAAAAATGTGTTTTAAAAAACGGAAGGATTTCCTGGGAAGCGGTGAGCCCGGAGGCAGAAGAGCTCCTGATGGTTTCAGCTCGTCTGAAGGCTGTGTCGGGGTCGGGGGCCGCACGAGGCGGGGAGGCGACGAGGAGGGGAGGCAACGAGGCAGGGAGGCGACGAGGCGCCCGTGGAGCTCAGCTCCAGCCGGGCCGGCTGCTCAGACGTGAGCACCAGGCGGCGGCGGCTCGGCGTCAGGACCCTGGACTCCGTGCACTGCTCCGACGTTTCTGTGCCCAGAGCTAGGTTGCGTGAGATGTATTTGCCCCTTGGAGTGATGTTCACAGCACACTGGAGGAACATCCTTTATAGGTGATGTTTACAGCAGGAGGAAGGCCGGGAGGGAAGGTAATCACTCACGAGACACCCTTGGCCCCGCTTTATAACCCGATTGTCTCATCTTCCAGCTCACGACACTGCAGTGAAGACCTGACGTCCCGGGAGCACGAGAGACCTCTGTCTCCCAGGGCAATTCTTTTTTTAATTAACGGAGCTTACAGCCGCACACACAGCAATAAAAGGTGTGAACGCGCTCCTGCACTCCCAGCCCTCCTGCAGGTGTCTGGGGGCCGTGTTCAGCCCACAGCTGTCGGCAGCTTGGAGAGCTGCCTGTGACGTGGTCAGGAGCCTCTCCAGGCTCCCAGGCCTCTCTGTGCATTGCCCAAGGGCAGGCAGACCCCAGCTAGGTGCAGGGGAAATGGGGGGCGGGGACCAGAGACTGCCCCAAAAAAGGAGGTTGAGTGTGCGTTGGCCTGCGCCAGGCGTGGACCCAGTGTATCGCAGCCCGGCTGGTGGGAGTGCTCGTGGCAGCGGCGATGGGCCGTGGGGCCAGAGTTTGAGCTCAGAGCACTGATAGTTTGCTGTGGGGTGGCAGGTGAGCTGCCGAGCCCCTCCGGGCCCCGAGCCTTGTCTGCCCAGTGGATCGTGGGAAGGGCTGCCTTGGAGCTGTGCTTCAGCCTTGGAGTGATGAGCGTGGCTGCAGGGAAGATGGCTCAGCAGGGCTCAGTCCTTGAGACCAGAGCATCCGTGAACGCTGTGCTCAGCATCCCAGAAGCCCCCCCCAACACACACACACACACGCACAACCACCACGCCTGCCTACCGCTGTACGAAAGGAACCAGTCTGCACTTGGGTCCGCAGAGCTTGCTGGACGATGTGTCCTCGGTGTCGGGGGCTGGGCTCTGCAGAGGAGCGTACTCAGTGCACACCACGCTGGGCGGGATGCTGCCCTCGGTTACTGCTCCCACCTCGCCTGTAGCCCTTGCTGCTGAGTCCCTGGGGCTCCCTTTTCTCTGGCTGTGGGAGCCTGCAGGTGCGATGGCTGGTTGGTCTTATCTCTGCGAAGCCAGAGAATCCCCAGCTCTCACTGGCATGGTGGGATCAGACGTCCTGAACACACCCAGAAGCTGAGCGGGAGTCGGCACATGAAGGGTGAGAGCGGTGGCATGCGGGTCGAGAACGCCGACGGGCAGTCGTGTGTAGCATTTCTTTATGCACCATGCACTCCACTGGGCTGTGTTGCCTTAGCTGTGAGTGTACGGTCATTTTCCAGGACTTAGGAACAGATGGCCGTCAAGGTAAGGGTGCGTTGGCCAGGTAGGCACCGCTCAAAGTCGCTTACCACAGGTACTAGTTTTGTGTTGGTTCCGAATATGATAAAATTCAGGCCTTGGTGTTACTGCCTGTGTACTGATCCGTGATTCATCCAGTTCGGCCTTGGAGGTGAATGCAAACACGGTGAGCACAGAGTGGGTGCCCAGAAACCCGGGCGCCGTTACGGGTGGAGTGGAGCAGGCGTGTCCTCCCTACGTGCTGCTAAATGCTGTCATGTGTTCTCCAGTGTCTCCAGAAAGATCACATTCTTCATTCCTGGTGACTAGCACTTTTTTGGTCTTCATTTTTTTTCTTCAAGACTGTCTTTTTGAAAAAATTAAGTTGTGTGCCTGGAGAATCGGAGGCTAGGCTGATGGCGTGTTCCCGGCGTGGAGATTTTTCCATGCCAGCGTCGGGGAGAAGGGCCAGGATGCGGTGACTGGAGAGACGGGCCCCGCCCTGAGTGCGGGGCTGACGTCAGCAGACACGCATGGCGTGGAAGGTGCCCCAGGACTGAGCGGTCTCTGTTTCTGTTTCTTCCAGGGGTGATGGGCGAGTATGAGCCCAAGATCGAAGTGCAGTTCCCAGAAACAGTCCCGACCTCCAGGGGCGCCACGGTCAAGCTGGAGTGCTTCGCCCTCGGAAAGTAAGTTCCGGCTCGCTCCCCCGCCCTCCCGCCAGCGTGGGCCGCTGTACTGGGCCGTGCGCCGCGCACAGGGCCCCTGTCGGAAGCCAGAGAACTTCCTCTCTGTCACTCTATCCATGCGGCTGATGCTGCCTCACCCGGGAGAGCGGACGGGTAATGGCGCAGGGAGGATTGGGCTGTCGGGGTTGACCTGGCCACAAAGGAGCCGGGACAGGAAGCACTGTGTTGTTACTGTGACCTGCACGGTGACATGGAGCCAGCGTGACAGGGAGACACTGTCCTTCCTGGGAGACACAGACTCCGGCTGGGGGAGATGTGGGCTTTGGCCTGGCCCGAGGTCCTGAGGAGGCAGCACGCGTTTCTGGATTCCTTTGCAAGTGGCCAGTCTCTTGCCCCTACCTGTTAATCTCCCTCTGCTCTGTTTGGAGCTAGGTGAGCCCTGCTGTCCCCTGAGGGAGTGTCTGTTGTATACAATCATCTGAAAACCACACAAGCCCGATCCTTTGGCCTGGGGCACCCTGGGGAGCCAGTGAGCTTGTCCCTGAAGATGGGCAGTGCAGGTCAGCTGGGATCCCCGTGTGCAGGGTCCAGCAGGGGGCTTTGGCATAAACGACATCTGAACGCGCATCTGAAATCAGGTGGTTTGCTGGGGTGCGGATTTCAGTGACCTCTGGCAGTCTCTGCCCAGCCCCGTCTGTCCATGTGAACGTCCAGCCCCTGGGCGGTCAAGCCTGTGAAGACATGTGGTCCAGCCCTGCCAAGGCAACCACGGCAGTGCTGCAAACTCGGGAAACGCACAGCAGGCTGATTGTTAAACTGACAGTTTGGTGTGGCCTGAGTGTGCCTTTGCCCTGGGTGCAGCCAGGGTCCCCAGCCCTGCCCCCGGTTCTCCCCATCTGTTTCCTGGGCCGATTTGTGGACTGGGCCATGACACTCACTCCCATCCTTGCTTCAGCTGGGCATCCATTTTTAATCGTTTCCTGCCTTGCCAGCTCCAGGGAAGAAAGGCAGCCGTGTCCCACTGTATCGTTCGCTCTGGTGGGAGGGTTATTTTGGTTTCCACGAGCTTGCAAGCCACAGCAGCACAAGCTCTCGTGATGTCTTTACTTTGTACCCCGCAATCGGGGGGTGACTTTCTTACGTCCTGGAAACTCACCACCTTAAATCAGCTGCGACATCGCTGAAGGACCGAATGCCGTGAGACATTAGGAGTCGAGTTCCGAAGCGGTGTGTGACGCCTAGAGGTGCCCTGACTTACCACCGAGAGGATGAAGGCAGATTGTGGACAGGACAAACTCGTGTGTGTGTGTGTGCGTGTGCGTGTGTGTGCGTGTGCGTGTGCGCATGTGTGTGTGTGCGTGTGTGTGTTTGTGCGTGTGTGTGTGTGCGTGCGTGTGTGCATGTGCGTGTGTGTGTGTGCGTGCGTGTGTGTGTCCGTGCGTGTGTGTGTGTGTGTGCGTGACCAGTGGGGAAGGGTGAAAGCAGGTGCCCGGGCTGCCCAGGTGTGTATTTTCCGGAGCCTGCAGTGAGCCGCCTTCCCAAGTCCTCTGCAGAGAAGAGGCTGCACGGCTGCACGGGAGCCGGAGGTGCGGTTCCCTGGGACATGAGCCCCCTCTGTGTTCTCGCTCCCAGTCCTGTACCAACCATCACCTGGCGAAGAGCAGACGGAAAGCCCCTGGCCAGGAAGTCCCGGAGGCACAAGTCCAGCGGGGTCCTTGAAATCCCCAACTTCCAGCAGGAGGACGCTGGGCTGTACGAGTGTGTGGCGGAAAATTCCAGAGGGAAGAATGTGGTGCGGGGCCAGCTGACTTTCTACGGTGAGTCTGATTCCTGCCCGCCCTGCCGCACGGCCTCCGGAGCGGGGAGCTCGGGCCCACACTTGTCTGGAGGGGCTGCGCCTGCCTTCTGTGTGGACCTTGAGGGCAGTGGGGTGAGGGGAAGAGATGAGGGTTTGGGCCGGAAGTGGGGGTGAGCACACCTGCCAAGAAGCCCGGCCCCCCGCCCCCCAGCCTGACACAGGAGGCAGTTGGTTACTCCTGCTCCTGGCCTGTCTCCTGATTTTTGGAAGCTCTCTGCTTCTCTCGGGCATTGCTCTGGGGCTTGGCTAATCCTCTGTAGTCGCTGCTATTGGGTGGCAGTTTGATGGGGCAGCACCAACAATGCAGAGCGCACATCGTCCAAGCTCAGTCCTTGTCGGAGCGCCGGGAGGCAGAGCTTTCCCTCCCCAAAGACATTGTAGGTGCCGCCGCTCCTGTTCCAGTCCAGTCAGCGGCACTGACCCACACCTCTCGCTCCTGGTCGCTGCGGCCTCTCCTGGAAACCCGGTTAGGGCATCGATGTGCAGTCCGACACGGTTCGCGCTGGACGAGTGCTTTGAAAGCCGACTGAACTCCACCAGGTTGGAACGGGCTTGCATCCCTTCTGTCTGAAGTAGAGAACGTAAATGTGACGCGTTGATAATTATTCTAGAAAGGTTCAGTCCACAACATCCACAACAGTGCCCACCACAGTGATGAGGATGGTTCTTCTGGGGCAAGTTGCAGCAAAAAGCGTGAGATGTTCTTGTGCCTGCAGTCAGTGGCAACCCAGAGCTCTCCTTGTTTCGCAGTGCTTCTGCCAGAGCTGTTTGGTGTGGACCGGCGGCCTGAGCGTGGCGGGCAGTCATGGAAGATGGTTCAGGGCTTGGCTGGGAACCAGGAGGCAGTTTCTGAGGCCAACCTTCAACACCTGTCCCTCGGGGCCTCCCCCTGTGGACGCACACCTGACCTCAGTGGTGGGAGGGCACACGGCTTCTCGAATGTGCTTCATGTGATAGGGGCACAGTCGCCGGAGTCCACTAGTGTCTCCTTGGAGTCATCTAGAACACTAGAGGGATAGCCCTGCCCATGGCACATGGCAGCCGGGACTTCCGGCCATTGCGCTTTCTTGAAACGTGGTCGTGGATACCGTATCTGACCGGCTGGCGTTAAGACTTCACAGCCGACAAGTGGGAGACAGGAGGCTGGCGGGGACGGGCGGGGCGGGGTGGCACCGGGTTGTTCATTGAGATGCCGTCGCGTGCCTTTCAGCCGCCCGGGGCTGCCTTCTCCTGCCAGTGGAGTAGCCCGGAGCTGTCGTTGACTCCAGCTGTCCTGCAGATGCTCAGGGAACTGGACACCGTTGCTCTCTGTCTTCTTGCTTGAATGGACTTGCCAGTTCCGCGTCAGCTGTCCCCGGACGGCACTGAGCTGCTCACCTAACTGAAGACAGCTCTTTGCACTCTCATGCCCTTTAAGCAAAGCCCCCACTTCTAGCACGTCTAGAAGGAACCACACTTGTTGCACCTGGGGGTGGACAGCGCCTCCCCCCGGCCCCGGCCCTGGACGTGGAGTCGGCCCCGGTGAGCGGTGGCTGGCTCCGGCTGTGTGCAGGGCCGGGTCTTGTGCACAAGTCCAGCTCTGGACATGGAAATCAGGTGGGAGCAGTGCCCTGTAAGCCACTGTGTGCACAGGGCGGAAGCGCCTGCCTCCTGAGGGTGGCACTGCCTCCCCTGCACTGGCAGCCTCCGCCGTGGCTCCTGCCTGCTGCACACGCCTGCGTGCTTCTGCGTTCCCTTAAGGAATACGTCAGCAACGCAGATGTCGCCTGGCTCCTCCTCATCACAGGAGAGCTAAAGAACAGCCGAGGGCTCCACTCTCGTGTGTTTTGGTCTCGGTTTTCCCAGCGCCGGTGCCTAACACCGGCTGCCCAGATCTCCGAGATAAATGGCTTGTTACCTCCGCACTGGTGAAGGGCCCCAAGTCACTTAGCCGGGAACCTTCTGTCATCGGTTCCCTGTGGCGTTTGCCTGTGCCATGCTCGGGGAATCTGCACCTTGGGCTTGAGTTTAGAAACAGAAATGAATCTGTTTCTGTCGCTGACTCCAGGTGGCCACTGGAGCAAACCTCAGCCTGCTCGCCCTCTTCTGGCTGGACTCGGGGCCGGCCTTGCCTTGTTCGGCTCAAGGCTCCCCGCCATCGTCCCAAGGGCTGCTGGGCAGCCTGCCTGTGCTCCTGCCGTCCCTGTTTCCAGACAACAGAAGCCCCTGCTCTGGGTCCATGCGTCCGCAGTGGCCCTGGCTGCAGGCTGCCCGTCTGCCCGCTTTGTTTCTGCCGCGACCCGTGTTGAACTGGTGTCGCCAAGTGTTCATCTTCCCTTTCAGCCATTTTTCAGCATGAAAAACCTTCTAAAAATAGATCTGTTTTTCAGAGGTCCTGAGCCGTGGGTCTGGGTGACTGGAGGTAGACGTTTCGCCTAAATGGCTTCATTCCCTTGTGTGTTTGCTTCGACAAGGATGTGTCCATTGTGCACTGGTGGCCAGCATGGTCAGCACCGGGGGCCACCCTCCAAGCCCCAGCGAGGAGCAGGTGGCCTGCAGACAGGAAGCTTCCTGTTGTAGGAGGAGGCCCCAGGACACGCGGTCTGGGGACAAGGCACAGGGGGGAGGCAGCGGTCGGCAAAGACCAGTCTGGGAACCACCATCACAGCTGAATCCCAGAGGCTGCGGCAGCGCCAGGCTCCTGACGGGAGAGGCCGAGAGCTGCTGGGTGTGTCTGCGAGGCAGGAAGGGAGCCAGTGTGCCCAAGCCCCAGTGAGCAGGGCACGAGGCTGGCCGCATGCGCCAGTGCCTGGAGCCCGTGCAGAGCAGGGCTTAGCCTGTGCGTCGTGGAAACCACTGGGGATTTCAGGCAAGGGAGTGACTCTGTGTGACTTGTGCTGTAGAGAGAGAGAAAAAAAAAAAAAAAAAGATTTACTTGACTGTGTGGTTGGGGGCGGTAGGAGGGGATGTAGAGAGATCTTTATCCACTGGTTCATTCCCACCAGATGCCCACAGCAGCTGGGGCTGGGCCAGGCCAGGCCAAAGCCAGCGACCAGGAAGTCCCTGCAGGTCTCCCATGTGGGTGGCAGGAACCCAAGTACTGGGACTGTCACCTGCTGCCTCCCAGAGTGTGCATCTGCAGCAAGCTGCACCAGGCGCTGAGAGCAGCCAGTACCTCAGCCAGGCCCTCTGACCCAGGTTGTCTTAAAATATATATATATATAAACTATTTGAAAGTCAGAGATAGAAAAAGAAGAGAGAGAGACCTCAATCTTCCATCTGCTGGTTCACCCCCCAAATGGCCACAACAGCCAGGGCTGGGCCAGTCTGAAGCCAGGAGCCAGGAGCTGCTTCCAGGTCTCCCACGCGGGTACAGGGGCCCAAGCACTTGGGCCATCCTCCACTGCTTTCCCGGGTGCATTAACAGGGAGCTGGGTCAGAAGTGGAGGAGCCAGGATTCGAATCAGCACCCACAGGGATGCTGGCCCTGTAGGCACCTGAGTGTTCCACACCACAGCACCGGCCCCTGGCCTGGGTGTCAGCCACTGAGCCAGGACACACACCAGCTAGTGCTTGGTGAACACCCATCTGGCTGCTGAGATGCAGGGATGAGGGGGAGCCGGGGCAGAAGCAGGCAGAGTGAGGCCGCCTGGCCAAGCCTCCCCATGGGGTGGTGTTGGTGGTGAGGACACGGACACGGGCTGGAAAGTGCAGGGGCTGGACGTGTGAGCAGCGGGCAGGGCACGGCCGTAGCCCCCAGGTCATAGATGAGGAGCCGGATGCCCAGGTCCACCACGGTCAGAAGCTGAGCCAGGGTCCAGATGCTAGGCGGGAGGTTCTGGAATGTGGGTGTGTGTCTGAATTACCTGGGCCATTTCAGAGACTTCACTTACAGGATCCGGTGGGGGGGGGGGGGTCCCAGGGGACACTGCCTGAGAGGCTTCTCTGGGACGGCACCATGGGAAGTGTGCCTGCCTGGGGGGCGGGGGGGGGGGGGGTTTGCAGGTGGCAGAGTGGAGCTGGGGGTGAAATTCCACCACAGAGACGCGGTGGCTCCTCCCCTGTCAGGCTGAGCCTGGCTGTCACTCAGGGCAGCACCCAGCCCCCAGAGCCAGTGGGGGGAGGGGCGGAGACAATTGTTCCTGCAGAAGGGAAAGAATACAATGGGTTCATTCACTCGATAATTACCCGTTTTTCCAGTTCATTGTGTCTCCCTAATCACTTCCTCTTCACCCAAATGGGGAGGTAGAAATTACAGTCCCGGTTTAGAAGACTGCAGCCTGAAGTAAGGGGCCCTGGAACTCAGCGCCTCCTGGGACAGCTCCTCCCCTGTGCCGCAGCCCATCCTCACACCAGGCAAGAGGCCAGGTGGGAGTCAGGCGGTCAGCAGAGTCCGGGGAGCCAGGGCTGGACGGGCCTGTTAGGTAGGACCAGACCTTTGAGTGCTAGAGATTAAGCCCCAGAGACAGAAAACGAGCTTCTCCAGGGTCGCACGGGGAGGGGGCGTCAGCGCTCTGAGCAGGGCTGCTGTCCCTCGCTGTGTCCCTTTCCCACTAATGCAGCATTTTAATGCAGCGAGCGAGGGTGCGGCCCCACCCGTGCCCCGTGCCCCCAGTGCTCTGCCTGCGCGTTGCACACTCAGTGTCACAGATGAGGTCACGCAGGTGAGCGCTGCCTGCCTCCCTCTGTTCTAAGCCGCTGACCTGGTTGTTGACCCAAAAGGGCTCTCTTCTCTGCCTCCGCTTCCTCCCCTGCCCTCCTGCACGTGGCCCGTTAGGCTGCACGGGCAGTGTGGGCGCGGTGCGGTGACGCTGTACCCAGCCTCGGGCCTGTCCAAGGTCGTCCATGCCTCTGCATAGCAGTGTATCTCCACGACTCCCCAGGTGTGCAGGGGCCCACCTGGGATGGCGAGATGACATTCAGACCCGCGAGTGGCTTACAGGGCAGAGTGGCCGCGACCACTCCAGCACACAAGGTCGC